AAGCAGTGGTAGAGTAAAGACCTACTTTTGCACATATCTGATAATAATAATAATGAAAGTTTGATAATGTCTGATGAAAGTTATGGTGAAATGGAAATACACGATGATGGCGGTTGGAAGAAGGTCAGAATGAAGAGAAAACCAAAGAGGGGCCTGAAAAGTACAATAAAAAAGAAGAGAGAAATGTTACAAGAAGAATTCAGCCGAATTTTAGGCCCTAACACCAGTTCTAATAATACTTATTCCACAAAAACAAGCACCAGTGTGACTATTCATGATCACATCATCAACACCTATATACACAAAATAAATAAACCGAAACACACAAACAGAGAAGAATTTTTGAAAAAACTAAAGAGACAATTCATAGCAGAGTACAGAATAGAAACCTGTGTAGTATTCACAGAAAATAACCGAGCCTTCAATCTTATGTTTGACCTAGATGATCCAGACTCAAATTCGCCAACAGAACCCATCAAGGGACAAGTATCCCCTATTAACATTCAACATGATTAAAATTTTATATTCCAACATCAATAGCTATGTGACAAAAAATATCTAGTGAATTATTTCATAGAAAGCAACAATATCAACTGTGCACTTTTTGTTGAAACCATAACTAAAATAGATAGTAACACCAACTATAGAAACTGGGATATAATAAAAAAAGATGGTTACTCAGTTAACAACGCAAGAGATGGAAGCTTAGTACAAGTATGTCCATCTCTGAAAATGAAAAAAGATAATGCTCCTCGGCTCAACAACATCCTGAATGAATGCATTCATTTTACCATACCATACCTAAACGATAAACTTCATATATTCCTAGTATACATACATATCACTCTTCACCTGATATTGAGGACACAATCTACTATATAAAAATGTATGTTTGTTGGTTGGTTGGTAAGTGATAAACTTCTACATCGCTCAACCGATCGTGATGAAACTTGACATGTATAAGTAATTTTTCATAGAGAAGGTTTTTAGGCTATCAATTTTTCTGTAACTCGCAACTAGATGGCGCTGTAGAACAATTTTTTGAAAGCACTGTTCTACAACGCTGCGCACGCCTAAGTTCGTTGATTCTGATTCTGTCAAAACATTGGAACAGCAGCGATACAGTAACATAGTACTAGTCTTTAATAAAGTTGTTCTGTACAAATATGCAGTGATAATAGGAGACTTCAATGTGAACCACATCCGCAACAGACAACTCAACACTTTCCTACAGAACTCCTCCTTCAAAAAAGCAAAAACAGCTCTTACCTTCCTGATGGAAAATAATCCTGACAGCACTCCAGACTTGGTACTGTATACAAGTAACCTGGAAAATAACATAGTAAAAATTGAGACCCATGCAGACCTAGGTTCAGACCATTTGGCAATTGAAGTGAATTTAAACATGAATATGATTATTGAGAAAGAGGATTACAAGATAGACTATAATAAGAGTATGGAAAGAGTAAATGCAGATATAATACAATTCATCCAACACCATCGAATTGTTAATGAGGATCATATCGAAACTTTCAACAAAAAACATGTTGAATCTGTCAGAAGCAACTTTCCAAAATCGAAGACAAAGTTTTATGTGCACGAACTTCCAACATTCATCATGAGGCTAATTAAAAACAAAAGAAAAATGTATAGAGAATTCAAAACCACCCAGGACCCTCAACTGAAGAAGAACAATAATGACTATAACAAAAATATCCAGAAACTTATTATGCAGTACAAAGAAAATAAATGGTTAGAAACATGTGAAAAAATAAATGAGTAAAAGGGTAAAAATTACTGGCACCGAATCAAAAAACTATCTAAATACAAGCCAATAAATAACATCAATAATCTACAAGTTAATGGTCGTATAATAACAACAGATGAAGATAAGGCAGATACATTCTCAACTCATTTTGAGAATGCTTTCCAAAAAGAAATTGTGTTCATTTTGACCAAAATCAAATTATGTTCATTTTGACCAAAATCAATATGAGTCTGTCAATAATTGGTACAGAAACTTTTTCAAAAATATCCCAATTCAAGAAATAGATGAAGATTTATATTATAACATCATTAGTGAGGGAAAAAATACAGCCCCAGGAATAGACAATATATCTAGGAGAATCAATCATTACTATCCTACAGCCTGGAAAGAAGGATTAATAATTGCCATTCCAAAGCACATTACAGACCATTCACAGACCTACAACTACAGACCCAATACTCTTTTTCCAGTGTTGGGAAAAAACTTTTGAGAAAATTATCAAATATCAACTTGGTGAACATATCAATATACCAATGTGCCAATTTGGTTTTAGAGAAAATAGAAATACAACCCACCCTTTACTAATTGTAACATCTAACATACACACAGCACGCATGACCAACCTATACTCTGCGGTAATTTGCTCTCCAACAAGGAGTACCACAAGGCTCTCCGTTATCTCCAAAATCTATAATATATACTACCATGATATATACAATCACAACTTGGAAGACAAATGAATTTAATGAAAACCTTTACATCTTACAGTATGCAGATGATACTGCCTTAGTTTCACACAACCGCACGCTAGTACTCACAATAGAGGAACTGCAAAATCTCGTCGACAGGACAACGCTCTGGTTCAATAAATGGAGACCGAGACCAAACCCGGAAAAATCACAAATCATAATTTTTCATCACAACCCTTCAGAGACGCTACCAACAATAAACATCAACAACGAAATGGTAAGAAGCAGGCAATCAGTAAAATACTTGGGAGTAAACATTGACCACAAAATCAACTTTAACAGCCATACACAAAGGATTGAAAAGAAATGCATCAATAGTAGAAAACACTTTCGGAGTCTGACATTTAAAAAAAAAAAGAGGAATCAACACTAAAACTGCAGTTACAGATCATTTTACATATAAAATGATCTGTCGTCCACTTCTTGAATATGCGCATGTAATTTATTCAAGTGGTCGTAATCCTGCATTAAAAAATCTCCAAACAGCTGAAATATCTACACTAAGGAGTATTACCAAAATGCATCACCCTCAGAACAAACTACACAATCCCTCAAACGGATTGCTTTATAGAACTACAAAAGTGAAACCTATAAAGGAGAGACTATCTGACCTAGGAAACCGCTTTGCCAAAAATGAAACTAACTTGGAGACCCTACAGGCATTATGTAGGGAAAGACCTGAAGGACAACCATCCAAATTCAAATACCCGGAAAAAGCTATTTGGGAAAACATCAAATCAATCTCATAATTTATATTTTTTTGTCAGAAATATTAATGTATTATGTATCTATTATGTAAGCATATGTAAAAATCGACTTCGGTTGATGGCCCTTTGGTATTCACCAATAAATGACATTAATTATTATTATTTATTTGTTTTCAATAAATAATAAAAAATGAATTACTTAGACCACCGAAGAAAACTACATGTAATTATTTTCAATTGTGCTGCTGGTAAGAAGTGGTGATCTGAAAAAAGGTGTTTTTGTGGTTGCTTGGGTATATGTATGTGCACAGCTCCCACACCCAGAACTGTGTCACCAAGACATGAACTAGGCTCAATCTAATGTAGTCTCTAAGCCAACTCAGTTGGTGAAAAGTGCATCAAGAAGAGATTCATTTTACGCTAGTGGTTCCAGTTGTAACTTTCAGTTATACAAGGTGGTTATATTGTCAAAAACTCTTGCTGTTTTTAGGAAAGTGGTTCATATTTTTAATAAATATGGACATATTTCCTATACAATATCTCAGCTTTTTATAAAAAACGGCAGCATCCAAAGTAGGAATGCGGTAAAAATCAGGGGAAAGTGGAAAAAAAAAAAAATAGAATTTGTATTCATTGTTTTATTTTTTGTTGAAACTAACATTCAAATTGGTTATGAAGTTCCAATTCGCCTTTCGTTTTTCCACATTATTTGTCGTGTCTGAGTTAGTACCAGGCAGGCTGTCCTTGATTGAAGACATGATGTGAAGAACAGAAAAGAGTACTCGATAAAAATAACTGCGTTAACGCAAGCGAATAATAGTTGGAACCACCATTTGGTGTGACACCCAAGTTAGCTTGCCAAGTTTTAATTTATTTATTAATTTATATACACAGGCAAGCCCAATTCAGATATAAGTAGTACAGTGCTATGTAGTAGTTGATGCATAAAAGGCTGATATCACTGACTCGAATAGCAGCAAAGAGGATGTTGAATTAGAAATACAAGTAACAGAAGATAATCTATTTGCAATTATTAACTATCTAAGAAGAAAACACTTGTACTGTCTCTACTGTATTATAACAGGTACAGATACGGAAGATTTGAAAGAAAATTGTCCTGGTCTTTATAGAACAAAAGTATTTCATATAGGCAATATTCAATAAGTTTGTGAAATATTATAAAGGAATAGATTTGTGAAGAATTACTATTTTTTTCTTGCCACTCACACTGACCTTTTTGGTTTTTTTTTAGGAATTTGTTAAGAATCATCCTGTATTGTTTACAGAGGTCATGGTGGAAACCGAGAAATTTGCAGTGAATTTTGGGTTGATGTTATGAGTGCGCAAACAGATGATTGATTAGCGAAAGGATGGAAAAATGACTTATTCCAATGTTCTCTATTTAATCATATCATCTGTTTAGTCAATTTGCTAATGGTATCGAGCAAACAACCTTAAACCCATGTTTCATGAAAACATACAATTTTAATTTATACTCACTGCTATATTACCAAAGACAAAATTCACTTGCAAAGATTTTTTTGTGGTGTAAAGATCTTTCAATTATGTGCACCACGTGTACACCTCAGTATCCTTACTCACTGGAAATAGATAGGGATAAAAGTTTCATCTATTAATCTGAGATTCTCAGCATGCTTCATTTTCTAAAGATTTTTACATGTTGAAAAATGTTATTAATTGGATAAGATTCTAAATGATTCAACTGATAGTTGCAATATAGATGAATTGATGGCATGAAGAATAAATCAACAGAAAATTATTGGAGCTGAGAGAAATATAATTACAAATTGTCTTAAGGTTAAAAAAAATACCATACCACCCTTCTATGTTAAAAAAAATACAGACTGTATTTTGAAGAACAAGATTACTACTATGTTCAGTTTTGAAAAAATAAATGTATGAAAAATTATAATCTTAAATATTATTAGTATCAAAAATTTGATATACTCATTCAAATGGATTTCATTCGGTCCATAAGTTCTTCTAAACTTTCGTTTGAAGGAGTGGCTTCTTCACATTCTTCTATGCATTGGGTAGGAATTGTGTATGCCAATTTAACACCCTCAGAAATATCAACTTCTTCCTTATCCTCTACACTCTCATCAACAAGGCTTATACCCCATGCATTATCTTCATGAAGTGGCTTTTCATCTTCTTTAGCCTCAACAGCAACCTCTGGTTTTGGTTTCAAGGCATGCTCCTGTTGTCTCAATCTGCAATTGGAATCCTCACAGTTGGGGTTTGGTTTTAGGGTCATGGTTGGAAAAAAGTCAGTTAGAGCATTATAACCTAAATAGTTTGTAACTCGACCAAAGTTCAGCAAATATTTCAAGCTATTTTGAACTAGGAAACCTGCCACTATGCCCATGGTTGTTGGAAGACTTGCTGCGCACACTCCATCTCTTTTAAGCGATTTTTCATCAATGTTGGAAGCAACAATCAGAGGGGGTGCACACTAAAAAATTAAAAAGTCCACTGAANTATTCTTCATATCTGAATAAAAATCAGGATGCATTTTTATTTGAATAAAAGTGGTGCCATGTTTTTTATATACTGGGCAAGTATTATAGACTGTACAATAATGTACCTTGTTCATTGATTCAAATGAAAATATGTGATTATGTTGCAATCAGACAAACTAAGTCAATTCGAGTTGAATACTTGTTACTTACTGCAAAGCACGCAGATTCCCCGGGAAGCATAAACTGAATATGACCTGAAACCGCATTTTCAGACACTCCCGATTCAAACCACGTCAAATTCCTTTCATTGCATGCTGCATTAATAGTAAATCTTGCTTCAAAATTGTCTACACAACTTAAAACCAAATCGACTGGCCCATCATTCAAACTACTGGTCCTGAAAATATTGCTCATGTAAAAAATACTATTATTTCAAGCAAACCTTTCTCGGTTAGTATTATTTATGCTGAGCCGAAAAAATTTTCTTTGAATTGAACCAATATGCGCATTTCTTCCATCATAATAATGTTGTTTTCATATTATTGCTAGCATGAAAAATATAATGGATGCATTTTTGGTACAATTACAATACCGGAATGATCATTCACATCGTTTTTATATTCTTCGATGCCTCTCCAGTTGGTACTTTTTATTCTATCTCAATCGATGGGATGTTTGAAATGAAGTAAAGGAGCGTAAAGTCGAATGATTTTTTTTGTCAAGTATAACATATCTCCTTCAAACATCTGTCAAAAACACTTCTTAAAATCAGACAGGTTAGTAAAGCAGGCCTTCAGAATTAAAAAAACAGTCATTGGGGGAAGTAAACTGCACAGTGTAGAAAACAAGACGAGCTTTTTACTAAACTGCTATACAAGCCTCATACATGAGCACTTTCTTCTCAGGAAAATATGTGGGGAAGCCAAAGATAAAAATTACTGGATCAATAATAACATGAACAAAGCACAAAGTACAAGCACTGAAAAACAAGATACGATATCATAAATGATCCAACACATTTTCTACGTCTGAACAGTGAATATGAAAATACTGTCATATCAACAAAAAAAATCCCGATAACATAATCCTAAATTCTAACAAAATCAGACATACCTGAAAACTCATTGAATTCGAAATGAATGGTGAATGTACTAATATAAAAGAAAATAAATTTACATCTAATGAATTCAACTCATACTTTGCAAATGTTGGTTCTGAAATAACGGAAGAAATATCAAGAACAAACTCAATTTCTAATACACCTTTTATTTTACATTATTAACCCAAAAACGCCTGGATCTTTTTTTATGAGCCACCGGTAGACAGGTGTTTCAGCCTATTGGGCATCGTCAGTACCGGGCAGGTGGTCTTCGATAATAGCTTGAAGGAAAAACTTCTAGAAAATGCAGAAGGCTTAAAGAAAGAACTCTGTTGTGTGGCGAGTCTACCCGAAGAAAGGATAGGAACCATCGAGATGGAGACAAAATCAGAGAGAAAATCAAAGGGGAGATCAAAGATGAAATTTGGACAAAAATGAATAGAATGGAAAAAAAAAATTAGGCGATGAAATCAAAGGCGGATTTGAGGTTGAAATCAGCAAGATGAAGGAAACAATTAGCAAGTTGCAAAACCAAATCGTTAATTTTGCCCACACCACAGAAACTTTTACCGAAAACTCAATTCTGGCACTGAAAGATGTCAAAGTCAGTTCTGAACCAGGAAAGCTCTCCATGAAGCCGCCCCAGTTCGACGGAAAAGCTCCTTGGGCAAATTACCGCCGACAATTCGAGGCTGCGGCCAGAGCGAATGAATGGAATGCAAGAGAAAAGTCGGTAGCATTAACACTGGCGTTGCGTGGAGAAGCAACGAATATCCTGCAAACCCTCACGGCCCAGGAACAGGAAGACTATGACCAACTCATAAAGCATCTTGAGCTACGGTATGAACAGGCCCACCTAGAGCACGTTTACCATTCACAGCTGAAGAACCGCTGCTAGAAATCAGAAGAATCTCTACAGGAATTTGAAGCCGACATTGCTCGATTTGTTCGTCTAGCATATCCTGCTACCCCGGAAAATGTAATGGAGCGGTTAACAGTTTAGGCATTCTTGGACGGACTTCGCGACCAAGAAACGAGGCAAGCCTTGATACTAGCTCATCCCAAACATCTCGTGGATGCACTGGCAAGCGCTCTAGAGTTTGAGGCTGCAAAAGAACCCTGCAAGAGCCAGATCAAAGTTTGAACTATCGAGGAAGATGGACAGGTGCCTGCTGATATTGAGGCCACCATTAGAAAGGTAATAAAAGAAGTGTTGCCTGAGAGAAAACAAATAAGATGCTGGAACTGTGGGAAAATAGGCATGTGCGTAGCAAATGCCCAGCATTCAAAGAATCAAGATCAAATCAGGAAAACTAGAGGGGGTCGATGAGAAGGGGCAATCGTTGGCCTGTACCCAGCAAGTCCATGTAAAAAACGCATATGTTGCCATTCTCCAACGACAAAACAAAGGTGTTTTCGTAGACGGCCTCATCAACAACGAGTCTTGCACCATGCTGCTAGATACAGGTGCGACGAAAACCATTCTTGGGCCAACCTCTGCCAAAACACCGGCAAGATTTGAACCTTCAAGTTGGGAGCTACGCACCGCAACAGGGGAGCCAGCCACTGTATTTGGAGAACTACCAATTGAATTGATGTTGGGCAGCACTTAATTGAACTATCGAGCATTGGTGGCGAACATCGATGACGATGCGATCATTGGAATGGACATAATGAATTCCAGAGGGTTGAAACTATCCTGGAGGCTTGCCTGGACAGAAGTGTGAGCAGTGAAAAGGTGGTAATGTTCGAGCACGAAATACACGATGAGAAAATTGGACGAGGAATCGCACTGGGGAAGACCCTGTTGCGTGTTGATAGAGTTGTGCCGGTCAGCGTTATGAATGTCAACTACTTTCCCGTGACCGTGAAAAAATTAACAATGCTGGGGCACTGCTCGTCCATTTCCTCAGTGATATACGAAGTGTACGCAGTTCGGTTAGCCCAGCCAACCACTTGCCTAAAGAGTTGGAGAAGTTGATTGGCATTTCCTCCAAGGACATACCACCAACTCTCTGATCAAAATTGAGGGAGTTAGTACCAGGAAATCTTCGATATTGGAGAAGGAAAAGGCGGCAGGACGAATGTGGTTCAGCATAGAATCGACGCTGGGAATGCGCGACCAATCTGGCAATCAGCTAAAAGACTCCCCCTTGCCAAGAAAGAAGAGGCAGACAAGATAGTCAGCGATATGGAAAAAGAAGGAGTCATCGAAACTTCTGAGAGCCCCTGGTCTTCCCCAGTCGTATCAGTGAAAAAGAAGGACGGCTTGACAAGATTCTGCGTGGATTATCGCCAACTAAATAACGTGACGAAGAAAGACAGCTACCCTCTTCCAAGAATCGATGACACCCTATACACGCTGGCCGGCTCCACAATTTTCTCGACTTTGGATTTGAAGAGTGGATATTGGCAAGTTGAATTAGCGCCAGAAGATCGAGAAAAGACAACTTTCACCATCGGCTCAGGATTGTGGCAGTTCACGGTTATGCCATTCGGGATTTGTAAAGCTCCAGCGACCTTCGTGAGATTGATAGAGACGGTTCTGAAGGGGCTCTCATGGAAGACGTGTTTAATGTGTCTCGACGATATAATCGTGGTCGGAAAATCGTTGGACGATCACTTGAAAAATCTGGAGAAGGTATTTATGCGTCTGAGAAGTTCTGGATTGAAACTTAGTCCTAAGAAATGCCATCTGTTCCAGAAAGAAGTCCGTTACCTTGGCCTAGTTGTCTATGGGGAAGGAGTGGCGGTAGACGAACAAAAGATCGAAGCAGTTAAGGATTGGCCCATTTCAAAAGACATACATCAGCTTCGTAGCTTCCTTGGTTTGTACACCTATTACCGCAGATATGTGCTGGGGTTTGCCAACATCGCCTAACCATTGACCCGATTTACAGAAGGACAGACCCAGTTCCAGTGGTGCGAGGAATGCTAAGACTCATTCAAGAAGTTGAAAAGTGCATTGATCAACGCTCCTGTTTTTAGCTATCCCCTACCGGATGGAAAATTCATTTTAGATACGGACGCCAGTAACATGGGACTTGTAGCAGTTTTTTCTCAGATCCAGGATGGACAGGGGAAAGTTATTGGCTACTTCAGCAAAACTGTCAGTAAACCAAAGCCTGTGTCACCAGGCGAGAGCTGTTGGCCGTTGTTAAAGGTGTAGAGCATTTTACAAATACGTGTATGTAAGAAGATTCCTGTTGAGAACGGACCATGCAGCTCTCAAATGGCTTCTGCAGTTCAAACATCCGCGCTGGATCGAGAGACTTCAAGAATTTGACTTCAAACTAGAACATCAAGCTGGGACTAGCCATAAAAACGCAGATACCCTGTCACGGAAACCATGCCCCGAGGACTGCTCACATTGCCGACGAGCAGAAGAGAAGGAAGCAGCTATTTGTAGAACTACAGCTGTAGACGACAACTGGAAGGACAATAAGATCAGGGAAGAACAATATAAAGACCCAGATCTTGGTTTAGTCGGATGGAGGAAAATTAATCAAAGACCATCGTGGCAGGAGGTAGCAGGTTATTCGCCAGCGGTTAAGTCCTACTGGGCCCAATGGAACTTCCTTATCTTGGAAAACGGAGTTGTGAAGCGAGTGTTGCAGTCTGACGACGGTAGAGAAGAAAGGCGCCACAGTGGTACCCAGGAACAGACGACGGGAGGTGCTCAGAGAAATCCATGATGGAGTCACTGAAGGACATCTGGGAGTAACAAAGACCCTTCAGAAAGTGAAACAACGGTTTTACTGGGTTGATTGTCAAGCCGACGTCAAGGACTGGTGCAGAAACTGTGCTGTATGTGCTGCCAGTAACGGACCTCGGATACGACCGAAAGCTCCAATGCGCCAGTATAACGTGGGTAGCTCTTTGAGACAATCCTGGTAGCCATGGATTACTTCAGTTATCGCTTTTACCGTCGCTGATGTCCTGGTAAAGGAATGGATATGTCGATTCAGTGTCCTATTGGGGCTGCATTCGGACCAGGGCAGAAATTTCGGGTCCAATCTGTTCCAAGAAATGTGTAAACATTTGGACATTCGAAAGACCAGAACCACAGCCTTACATTCACAGTTCGATGGAATGGTGGAACGAATGAATAAGACCATAAACCGCCACTTGTCCAAGGTAGTTTCTGACCACCAAAGAGACTAGTAGCAGTACCTCCACCTGTTCCTCTTGGCCTATCGTTCGGCAGTACACGAGTCAACCGACCAAACCCGTCCGAGAGATGCGGCTTCCTTGCGTTCACTGCGTGAACGCTTACGTTCACGCAGTTATTTTTATTAAGTACTTTTCTTGGTTT